CATTCCCTGTCCCCCTGTGCCACTGGCAGGGGAAGGAGGGAGAGAATCCAGGAGTAAAGTTAAGCCCAGGAAGGAGGGAGGGGTGGGGGGAAGGTGTTTTAAGATTTGATTTTATTTCTCATTACCCTGGTTTGATTGGTAATAAATTAATTTTCCCCAAGTCGAGTCTGTTTTGCCTGTGACAGTAATTGGTGAGTGATCTCTCCTTGTCCTTATCTTGACCCAGGAGTCTTTCATTATATTTTCTCTCCCCTGTCCAGTTGAGGAGGGGAGTGATAGAGCAGCTTTGGTGGGCACCTGGCACCCAGCCAGGGTCAACCCACCACATGTGTGGAGGGGTACAGAATAGCAGGAAAGAAAATGACGAGTGTGGCGTAGTATCACAGCATTTCTCCCAAACTTGATGTGTTAGAACAGTTTTGACAGGAGGCATCAACTTGTTCTGGGGAGTTAAGTACATTGCTATAAATCCTTTAACCGTGGACTGTGTAATAGAAAACAAAACACAGACTTAATACTGAGTTTAATGTCCACAAGACTCGTCTGAAAAAACATAGAGACATGTTCGTTCTTGCCTTCTGTGATCCCAACAAATCTTTAATTAGATCAAGTTCTGTAGAAACAGCTTCTGTGGGAGAGGGAGAGTTCCCCTGTGCAGAGTAGGCTATAGAGCAAGCACACTTACTTTCATGGCTTGAATCACCTAAATAGATTGCCTGCACCACTCTGTTCTCTCCATCTACTTAGTCTGCAGAGAACCATAGATGTAGACTTGGGATGAGACTTTGTCCCTTATATTTCCTTTAGATGACCTCTGCTTTGGGTTTTGCTATGAAGTGCGTTCTGATACATATGATTGTTTCTACAAGTTGCACAGGGATGGTTTAGTGCTTGGCTTACTGCTGTGAATTCTACAGCAGGGGTCAGGAACTGAAATGCTTTTGTGTATTTCGCCTTTGTTTTGCCTTGGTTGCCTCTTCTGTGGCAACACTGAGACAATATTAAATATCAAAAAATAGAGGCCAAATGAGCTGTAAAACAAGCAAGTCTTCTAGAAAAGGAAAGTACATATTTTATTACAATTTTTATTTTCACGATAGTAAACAAAGCAAAAGAAACTCCAGAAAATCTAAGCTTCTACAGTTGATATGAACTGATGTTCTCTCCTTCTGATGGGCTATATCTTTCAAAGAGTGGAGAATTAGAATATGGCAACAAAATTTAACGCCGTTAGTGGCACTATACAAAGGATCTTATATTTTGTACTCTGTTCAGTATTTGTTTTTGTGAACAGAAAAGTTCGAGATACTCATAATAATTATCTGACACAGTTTTTTTCTTTACAGCAGACAGAGCCCTAATAATTCTGTAATAATATTTAAGCACTGCAATCCAGATCAATTTAATAACTACCACTGTATCTCTTAAAATGCTAGGTTTGCTGAATCTTGGTACAGAACAGTGACAATAGTGCAAAGCTGTTTGGAGCTTCCTGTGAGATCTGCCCATGCATAACAAGAGGTCGAGAGGTTTAGAAATGGGGAAAGAAGAGATCAACAGACTCTTCAGCCCCTCCATACTCCAGAATTCTGTAGCTTGCTCCTTACATTAGCATGTCCTTGATGTATTCTCAGTCTCAAAGTGTTACCACTACCTCCTTAGCCACATACCTCCTGCCTGTTTTCCCAGCCTCTGCTCACTCATTCGCTGTGCTCCTCCTGCTGCATCATCCACTTGTTGCACCAGCTCCTGCACTGCCTTCTTGCATCTGCTGCTGACCCCACTTGTTCCTTCAGTACTGCAACTGCTTACTCACATCACTGGGATGGGAAAAGTAGTTCAACGAGTGAGCTGAGGGACACAAAGGTATATGGGATAGGGAAAAGAAGGTGGTGGCAGTGAGATCTGCTTCAAAAAGATCTAGTATCTAGTTCCTGCCTCATTACATACTTGAAAATTTGTAGGTAAGAAAGGTATCATACTTGAACTGTACTCTGAAGAATTGGGAGTCTGCCTACAGCCCCTGGGAATTCTCATTAGTTGCCGTGTCAGGTGAACACAACTATTCCAAGATAGTCTCTAATTGTGTGCTTTTCTTTCCTTGGTACCTATACTGAAATGCTGTGGTGGAATAAATGAAAGCCTATGTGATGAGTAGTTTTTTAGAACAGATCATAAGAACCTTTGGTTAGGCAGCTTAATTTAGTGGATACTTTAATCTTCTAACTGTAAAACAAGGATAGTTTTCTGGGTTTAGGTGTCTGTAAGTATTAAAAAACTTAGTCTATTTTTTATAAGAGATGTCAGTTCTGTAGTGGCACTTAAAGGAATTCTACCAAACTGTGCTTTGGAAAGGTCCGTATTTGATTATAGTATTAGTACAATGTTGAGATTCTGTTGTATTTACTCAAAAAGGAGGATAAAAAAACCTAGTTCAACATCATTCGCATAGGATTTTCAGAAAAAGATTTTGTTTTGATTGCAAGTGAAATGAAGTCATGATTGTGTATGGCAAGGAACCGTGAGGTTATGAATGCTGAAGGAAGTATTAATTACTTAGAGTCATTCCTTCTACAGCACTCCCTTGTATTTTCATATCAGTGGCATTGTATCTCCTTCTTTTGTGTTTACTTAGTCTCAGGTTTATTACTGTATTAACAAGGATTTTTGCGTGTGAAGTAGAAGATTTGTCTTCCTCTCCCTGCCAATGCTACATTATTATATTCTAATAGGCTGATTTTTGTCTAAACTAATCTAGCAATCTGTGTTATTTCAGCAGACTAATTCTAATGACTAATGTTTTGAACATGGTTGTTGTGGGCAGTGTGCTTATATGAATTCAGTAAGTCAATGGGAGCTTGATCCTGTTTCTTCTAAGTCAGCAGGAAAATAATATTAAACTAATAAAATAAAACTAGGGAGCAGGACCAAGGTAAAAAAGTTCAAATTTCATTCAACTACTAACATTGACTATATGGTTTTTTTAATTAATTGCATTTAGAGTTTAAGAAAGTAATTAAACTGTTCAAGGCCTGAAACTGAGGTTTGGGAGATACGGGTTCTGGTTCCAATATGGTCTTCATTTCTGTGTGCCAAGACAATTTTCATCTGTGCCTCACTTCATCCCAAATTAAAATTGGACAATAGTACTTTACAGGGGAATGTTAAGTTTTATTCATTAGGGCTTTGAAATCTGTGATGGACAAGCTTAGTGCCTGAAAAGAAAGCATTTTTGTTCCATTTTAAAATACCAAAACTAATGCTTAAGTGATAAAAAGAACTGCCATGAAGCAACCCTCTATTTTCTCTCTGTTTAAGTTAAATACGGAAGAACCATGGTACACCTTGCCTGTGAGGTCACGCAAAATGAAATGAACAATTGGCAGACTAGAGGGTCAAGAACTGTAACTTTTTTCTTCTCTGTTGCTTCCAGAAAGCTTGTGTTGACTTTGTGGTTACTTTTCTAGATGCTGTATTGTTGTTAGGCACTCCAGAGCTGTTGAATGATACTCCCTTCCTAATACTGCTCATTTTTAACTGGGGTTTTAAGTGACAGTAATGTCAGTAACTGGCTGTTTCCTGGAGCAATTCAGGCTGATAGCAGAACATTAAACATCTTATTCACAAGCAGATGAGTACCTCTGTTCTTGGCAGAACTGCATGGGCTGATCTTTTTAACACCAGGGATATATGAGAAATTCAGAAACAATGTAGTAGGTTTTGCTTTAGGCTGGCTATGAATCTGAAATTCAGCAGTCTTAAAAAAATCAGAAACGTGGGCCAAGTTTTGAGGGTTGAGTTAGTTTCAAGCCCATTCTTCTCCTTTACTTCCAGAAAAAAATCTTATTTTGGGGGAAGTACCAGATCTAATCTCTCCCTCCCTTCTCTGGCCTAGGGCTCCAGTATCCTGAAAGAGACTTTTCCTCCAGCTTTCCAAGATCTGCATAGGAACCGGTCCCCATTCTTACAATGCCTGCCTGGATATAACTTCTGGGTTATTTTCCATGCATGCAGTACCAAACGGACTCTTACAGAGTCCTGTCCTGTCAACCTGAAGTAGAGGTCCACAACAGTTTTTCACTGACAGGATTGTGATACTAGGTCTGAACCTACAGTGTGCTGCACTGCTTTCCACAGCTTTTCTCCTTGCTTGTGGTGCTCTGGAGGACTGAAGTTCCTGGCTGGATGTGTAGTCTATGCCTAGTTCCAGAAGAGCAAATTTTGAGTGAGACGTAAGGCCTATCAGTTGCGTTGGCGTCTGCCCTCCTTGAAAATGAAACTACATGGGTAGTTACCAGGTACTTGTGAACAGCCTGGAAGAAGGTAGAGAAAATAAGCTGTCCCTGAAGACAGTAAACTCAGGAAGTGCACTCACATTTCCTTACGGGAATTCTTGCAGTAACTATGAGACTTGTTAGAATTAGAAGAGGTTTGTTTATACAGGGAGTGAGTTGCATAGAGACGCACTAATTAGATTGGAAATTAGAGAATTTACTTAAACTCTTCCAGGTTTGGTTGGTTGGTATGTTTTATCCCTGAAATATAAAGGAACCTGGAGTGATTTGAACTGCTTTTGACTGAAACTTGCAGGGTTGAAACAGAGGCAGGATTCTCATGGTAAAACTATGCAATAAGATGACTTTTTAGCATTCTCTCTTTACTCATGCAGTAGCAGAAATAACTTAATTCTTTACAGACCATGTGTATTTTAAGCTTACTTCAAGCAGATTCATAACCTCTTGTTTCTACACATACCCGAAAACTTTCTTTTATTTGCAAGTAGTTTGATGATGATGGTTTTTTTTTTAAAGCAGGGTACTGTTTCCTTGTTTGTAACCACATAGGAGTTAACATTTTATGGCTGATAGACATTCTTTTTCAAACGAGGTATATTCTCTCCTTATTCAGGAAGCTGGTGGGTTTTCTATGTACGTGTGTTGGCCCCATTGTCTGTCTTCTTTTTACCTTCCTGCTTTTTTCTTTTTTTTTTTCTTTTACAGATGTCACCAGTCACGAGTAAGTCAGGGGACCTAAAATTTAGCTCGGAGCATGACACAGATAGAGACTCACCTGCAACACAGTAAGCAAGAAATACTTAAAACAATTTGCAGTGCTATTTCTACAACTGCTGTTAGAAAACTGTGAGAAATGTTGGAAGGGCTATTTTGTTCTAGCAAGCAAAACAAGTTAGCTTTACGATAATCATTCAGAAAGTGCTTCCCACCTGAAATGTGAAGGAAATAACAGTTTGCATATATGTATACACACACATATGCATACACACACCTTCTCCCCCCCCAAAAGAGCAAGGACTGTAATGTACATCAGAGTCAAAGCTCAGGAGTATGGGATTGCCCTGTGGCATCCTTTAGCTATGTATTAGGCTTTGTTGCTACAAACTGCAAACTGTTTTTGTACCCTCTAAAAATTAATTAATATAAATTGCAGAAGGTTGTCACATACCAAGAAGGTGCAAGCTGGCATCTTTAATTGTGACACTTGCATTTTTTAAAAATTGTGTGTATTCGTTGCGTGAAAGCTGTAAGCAGATATGATCTCAATATTTTGAACAAGAGCTTCCACAATATCTTTAGCTATTGCAACCATTTATACTTCAAAAAATACATCTGAAAATACTTCCTGTGTTTGCCATTACAGGTATCTGTCATCTAAGCAGTTATTTCACTGATCATTTTCCAGACTGGTCCCTTCCCCATATAAATAATCTGTGCACATACAGTGTAGATGCAGATACATATCTAAATTTAACTTATCTTTAAATCTTAATTTTCTATCTCCAGCTGTATCTAGATTTGAAAATAAATTGTGAGTGGAAAGTTTAACCCTTATGTATGATGAGGAATGGTCTGTATAACTACACATTGACAGAATTGAGCGTTGAATTTTGGGCATAACTATTCTGATAGGACGTACATTAAAGAAGGAGATACTTTTAAAGCACAGTTACATGTGACGGTTGATACAGTCTGTTAGAAGCCAGTATCAAAAATTTTGTATGACTCAACTCCATTCATAGAACTTCAGGAAACAATTATTTTGAGTGACCTTTCTAGGGCATCCACTGAAGAATGTGGGACCACAGATTTAAAATGCGGAATCACAAATCAATAAATCAAATTCAAGAATTTTGAGTCATGTCAAATGTGAAATAACCATTTTAATGGAAACTAAAGCTGTCCTGAGAAGAGGTCACACTGAAGTGTCATGCTGAAGAAACAGTGCCCCAAACCCACTTCAGCTACATTTCAAAAAGGTGAGAGAAGACACCTACGTGCCCGGGTCCCTGGAATGTACTCCCTCCTCTGGAACTATAGGGAGCAGGAGCATCATGTGGATGCCAGTCTGAAGTCATGCTTCATGTCATTGCTGTCCCATCTGGGCAAAAGAGTAGTGTTGCAGAGCATCATTCACAAGCTTTCAGAGTACTGAGCCATTTATACCTGATCACTAGTGAAAGATGTCATGAGGTAGCGTTTGACACTATACCTTGTTGGGGGAGAGCTAATTTGAAAGGGAAGAAGATAGACATGTCAGTACTACACAGCGCTGCATTTTCCTTCTATGTACAGGATGTTCTAGGCTTTATTACGTTTTTGCTGCATTTGTCCCCAGTGCTTGTGTTTTTTCTGACATGGAGAGGGCAGTTGTCACTGCATGTTTTAAGATCAGAATGCAAATCTGAGTAATGTCAGATATGTACTGCAAGTATGTACTTTGCAAGCTCTTCCATGAATTAGAACATAACGAAATGTGATTCACTTGTCTTTGTAATCATAGCAGTGACGGCACATACCAAGTTCTTTTCAGAAGAGATTACAAGTTTTTGCCTTTTGAGAGCTAGAAGAGAGAAGGATCTGGTATTTCTGATGCCAGTAGTTTGAAAGACTGTGCCATATTTCTGTTCATAGGCTATCTATATAGTACAGATTAGATAATAAAACATTTCAGAAACATGGCTGCATATTTTTCATGAAAACTCTCACTTCTTTGTACCTGAAAGGGCTTGTGACAGAACTGTAGTTTTCTTGTTCACTGCAGTTGATGTGTCTTGAAATAACCTTAAAAACAGATGCGCATGCAAGTGTTGTGATCTTAACTGGAAAAGTTTTCTATTTTAGCATCTAAAAGCAATATCAACATGACTTGAGGTCCAGTTCAATCTGTACTTAAATAGTTGCTCCCCCTAAAACATTCTGTTATCTTCCTTTTTCTGTGAAAATACACTTAATATCCATGACACATTCTAGTATATAGTAGGAATTATGCAGTAAATAAACTTCATAAGAATCAAGTGACATGTGATTGCCAAGTACGCACTTTCAGTATGGAGAAGTGAAACTGTTAGCACCTGCACGACTTAATATACCTTTCTTTGAGGCTCCAAATGAATGTTTGCTGTTTTGCCTACTAGAACAGTATTCATTATGGCCACAATACCTGCTGTAAAGGAAAGTGAATGGCAAGCCCTTATGACATGTCTGTCTGGATGGAAATTACGGTTTTGCAATAGGAAAACAAATTTTATCCAAGGTGGTAGTAGATTTTTATCTTAGCAAAGCAGTTAACCTATCTTCTGCAGACTCTAGAAGAAATAGAGAAATGTCCACATAATACATGCTAAGCATGCTAACGTTTTTATCAAAGTATCTCAAGGTTTTGATACGTCATCACATCTGATGTTCAAATTATAAAAAGATGAAAACTACTTCTCAAAATTTGAGTAGCTTTACACTGAAATTCTGCATAGTAGCCTCATCCTTCAAATATTAATGATTAGCTACTATTTGTCAGTACAGACATTATCTCCTAAGATATATTCCCATTGTACAGTTTTGTTGAGCTACACTAGATAGTGCTCTCTGCATAAATTTACAAGTGATTACACATCAGACCCAGCTGAACACTCAGTTTGGTAGATTGGTACTTATTACTGATTAATTATGATTTTGTACCCTGGTTTTCTCATGCAGCAGTACTTCTCAAATTATTCCAGGAATCCTAACACAGAGAGTCTTGAACTCCAGAATGTTTTCCTTCAGGCTGTTCCAGTATTAGAGCTGCAGCAATTCATGTAGTCATGAATACACAATTTAGCTTAAAAAAAAATTCAAATTTTAGGCAGTCATCAGTCCATTATCAAGGCTGATGTAAACATTTTCATCTATAAAATACGATTACATTAGGACAATATCACCAACAGTAATGCTTTTGCAGCACCCTTTTTGGGGAAACTGCACATATCTCATTACATTCTTTAGTCTTCATTCATCCACTCGCTTATGTGTTTCAGCAGCATTCAACATAACAGTTCTCTTCACAAACAAAGACCTTGTGCTAGGCACAATACAAATTTTGAACAAAGACAGTACCTGCTCTTGAAAGGTTACAGTCAAAGTGTTATTACGTATTTACAGTTAAATAAAGTTACGACTTCTGCCAAGAGTGGGAATTCAGGGTAGAAGTGGTGTAACATCTGCATAACCCCTGGCATCATCTGCAAGACCAGTCTAATTCCCTTGTTAAAGGCACTGACTGGGAAAGATACAGGAGCTTGACTGATGCTTTTGGCATTGTATGAAGTCTGATAAGCATAAATAGACATTAAAGTGATTTCTGATTCTGTAAATCTGTCATAGTTCAGGTAAATTAAAATGGAAAAACTAATCCATGCACTTTGCCTGCCTGTCTTATTCTTGTTGAATAAATAAACCAGGAAGCTTTCTTTAATTGCAAGTATTTTAGTGTTTGAGGTTAGGAAATAAAAAAAAAATGCAGTGGCTCTTTTATGAGAGGAGGAGACTGGTAATTTGTACTTTTTAATTATATCTGTTGACTATTGATCAAGACTAGCTGATTTTTACAATCATGAGAAGTTCTTTTCAAAGCAATGCTATGTTATGTTAAAAAGTAGACTAGTGGAGTGGTCTCATATTTTGTCTTCCTGGTTTTTCAGTCTTTGTTCTGCTGCAGAACGGTAGTTTTTGTAGTTGTTTCAGCATTGTACTCAAGGGGGAGAGGCAGACAATTCCTCTAACACATCAGCTGTGAGTGGAAAAAGCTCTAAATTTGGACTAACTTTGTGTTTCTTTTACTCTTTTTATATCCACCTTCCTCTAGAGGTGCAAAGAAAAGGATACAGAGGAACGAGAGGGAAAATCAGCACAACTTAATGAGTCTCGATACTCCCGTATCATCAGTTACAGCTAACGGTGTTGAAAATGAACCTACAGCCCATGGGGTGAAACTGAAGAAGAAGAAAAAGGCAGTGAGAGGCTCAAATTTAAGCACAAACGGAAAGACAAATACTGCCTTTGAGCCTGAACGCTATGACATACAGTCATAACTTAATTCCAAATACTGGTGTGATATTCAGTATACACATTGAAGGCTGCAACTATGATCTCACTTCAAGGATTAACAATAAACAAAAAAAATTAAAATATTAAAATATGCAAAATGGCACCAGTTGTGACTTAACCAATGGTGTAAACCTAGTTTGGAAGACTTTTGCCTTGGGTTCCTTGAAATCAACAGAAGTTGCATGTTCAGCTCCTCACTGGACTGGTAAAATTTGAAACTGTCAAATACAATGTTAACCAATTTAATATCTGATTACACCTTAGCTTAGGCATTTCTGTAGATCAATCCGTTGGGAGCAGAGAATCAAGTGAAAAAGTGTGATGTAGAGCAAAACAAGCCTAACTACTACATAAGTTATTAAATTAGCATTTTAAAATGTGTTGTAAGTAAAATAGAGGAGTGTTCAGAATGGTAAAATTACAAAGGAACGCTGGCGTTGCAGTGTACCTGAAAACATAAGCTTTTTAAAAATATTTTCCTGACATCAGATATTCACTTGGACTGCATTTTGCAGCTCTGAAGCAAATTGTTGAGTAACTACCTATGCAACTACACTGTGGGACTACTCATGCTTACCAATGTAAATAAGTGTTGCAAATTCCAGGCAGTTATATTTTTCAAATGAGGTTTTTTGCACATAATAAAGATGCATTGCAGTTTTGTCAGAGCTCCTGGCTGCTTTGGCAGCAGTCTTGCCAAATATACTTTCTTTCGTCTGAATGAAATATTTCATATCCAACTGTGCTGTTTGTTTTACTTGTAGTCCTTATTCACTTGTAAGTGTCATTAATCTATTTTTTTACTTGAGTATTATGTTGTGAACTTTTACTAATTACTTCACTAATTATCTACAGTGCTAAATAATTTATGTTTTATATTAAACAAAACACTTTCTATCGGTTAGTGTTTTTTCTGGCTGATGATGTCCAGTTTATTTTTACTCTGCTAGGAAATTCTTCCTCCTCCCCCTCTGAAGCAATAAATAACATAAAATTAGAAAGCCCTTATTTAGTAGACAGGGCACTTGATTCCATTAAAAAAAGAAGTGAGAATAACAGTGTTGGGCACTGATGTGTGAAATGCACCCAGATGCAGAGGACCAGTTGCTATATATTGTAATATCTTCCCTGCCCATGTTTTAAAGCCAGAAGAATCTGTAAACTTGTTTCTTTTGAGTAAAGCACTGCAGCAGATACTCTTTTTTGCCCCACTGGTAATTGTTCTTTGCTAACAGTCCTAGTTTTTCTTTGCCTAGAGCATGTGTGTGGAGTCCTGCCCTAAATGGGGCTTGCATATGTGTACTGGAGGCTTATGTCTCTTTCCCCAGTCGGAGGTGGTGTAAAATTACCTTAATCCTGGGACTGCCCGATTCTAGGAAGGTTCCTAGCCTCTTATCTGTCTGCTTTTGTGATATATTCCAATTCATTGTTCTGTGTGACATGTGGGATTTAAAGATTTTATAAAAGAGAAAAATGTCAACTTATGTTTCTTAAACTGTCCTGGATCGCATTTAAAGTAAGGGCAGAGCATGGCATGAGGCTCCATCCACGTCAGGGAGAGCTGAGCGGTAGCCAAGATCTGGGAGCTCATTGGAAAGCATTGTAAAATGTTAATTTGGCATTGTGGACACTGAAGGCAGAAATAACACTTCAGATAAACACCAGAGAGAGATGGTAGTTCTAATCAAAGGCACAGCACCTCCTTTCATGCTTGCGAACTAGGGCTCCAATTATGTTCACTGCTCTGAAGCTGAATAGAGCTGCTTTGCCACACTTTCCAAATTGAGAGGAGAGGCAGCAGTAGTGTCTTCCAAGGAACAGTTCCAAATAACAATTAAACAGAAGGAATCAGATAAGAGCCAAACATGAAAATGCAGGGAGTTGAAAATAAACTTTTCATAATGTTTTCTTGTAATTGCAGTAGCTTTTGTTTTGTTTTTATAATTTTTTTCCTCCCTACCACATGGTTGGTTAGTGACTTCTATTCCTTATACCATGTCACTGTGGTACTAGAGTTTTCTGCATTCATTTAACACAAAATGAAACAAAAAGATCTGAAATTTATAAAAAAAAAAAAAAAAATAACATCCTTCAGTGTTAAAATTAGAACCTTCAGTCTAAAATCTCTTAACAAATTATTAACGTGGCATAATGGCAAAGACAGTTTTTACCTTATGTTCAGAAATATGGCTGATATGTTCATTTTAAGAAAAACTGCTTTTCTCTTCAGTGTTAGTAGATTCCTTATTGTTCAGACATTGCTGTTGGGATTTTAAACTTAGAAGAAAGGATAAAACTTTTAAACAGTTTGGTTTACGGTAATGGTTTAAAAAAATAAGTTTTTAAATTAAAATTTATGTAATGCTTCTTGTTTCTGTGTTAATGCAACCTACATATTTCTTAAAATCACTTTAAAATGAGCATTGTATATGTCTGCTGAAAGTTGTCCAAGTATTTAAAGGACTTAAATTTCAGTGGAAGAAAAGAATTCTGGAAGGATTCAGATTACCTACTGAAAATTTTCCTTCTTTTTTTTTTAGTTGAAGAGCTACATTAAGTATCCGAAAACATGAGTGCCCTGCAAAGTTGCTCCCTGAGCCATGAATTAAAATACAAGAGTTATAAAAGTCAGTTTGAGGAGTCTTTAGAGGGTGATACAAGTTCATTGCTGAAACAAAGCAGATAAAACCTTGTTTAAAAAAAGAGTAAATATTAGATATTTATAACTGCCTGGTGATAACAGCATAGTAGGTCTTTCATTGTTCTGGTGATTTTAGAATTTTTGTGCCTGTGGTTACAACATACAGTCCCCATTACATTTTTATGATATGGCCGAGACATCGAGAACAATGCATAAATCAACAAAACAGAAAAGAATGGGTGGCATATTTTTCCTGTGTTTCCCAATAGCCATCAGATTGCATTTAGTTTTTTCCTTAAAATAATTTGAGGAACAGACATCATAAAACACAGTAAGTGTATTTGTAGCATCACTTAATTCAGAAGGCAGTAGGGGATGGATCACAGTCGAACAAGGGCTAATGAGAACACAGAGGAACATGACAACTGAAAGTCTCTGTTGACTAGTGAACTAAATCTGCCGGCTGGACCTGATTGTCTGATGGAGAATTGAATGTCAGGATCATTTAGGGTTAACAATGGCCCATTACAAGCAAAAGCAGACAGCTATGAAAAATAGCCGGCATGGTAGCCATTCTGCAGAGACTGTGGATGCAAACTTGATAATGAGGCACTTCATTCACTACATCCTTCTGCTCTAATTACTAAGGTGAATAGGAAATACTTCATTTAAGGCGGGAACAGACTAAAGCAAAAACACTTGTTTGGTAAACACAAAGAGTGGTGGTGCTTTTTAATGATCCTTTTCTAGCACGTATGAAATTAGTATGTATGCAGTGCAACCTATTTTATGGATGTGGAAATTGGGAGGGGATAGAAGTATCTTCTGAATAGCAGAGGGAGGCTGGAAAGATTCATGTACAGGTTTGTACTCTGAGGTTTTTCCCTTAGCATTCTGTCCAATGACTATTCAGAATGTTTTGGACAAATTAATTTATGGATGTACACCTGCACTTGTAAAAAAATATTGTGTTAGTTCAAGGAGTTTTATTGCTTGGAGTATAAAATATGTGCGTTAGGAACAAAACTGCTCTATGTAAGGAATAGAAACGAGAGGAGGTCTGAGAGAGGGAAATAAGCAACTTGAGAAGAAAACTGCTGTCTGGGGGAGACTTGCAAGAATGTGGCAATTAGAAATTGGAACTTAAGAAGAAGGAACAGAAGATAGTGAGAAGGCGTGTTATAGCAGAGCTCTGGTGGCTTCAGTCATGTTTCTTAGACTTTAGAAATTAAGATATTTAACCACTTCACTTTTTAATACATTTAAGTTTTTGTGCCATTTACAGGAGCTTTTTGGATGAACTTTTTGAACACGAGGAATATTTTCCTGTGTCTCTCCAGTAACTTGTAACTTGGTACTGTCCTAACTCTGAGCTACAGCCTGGAAAGGTCCACTGGCTTGCAGTGCTGTTGGGATAGATGAAGCTTTGGTTCTCTAATTTATGGCACAGGTCTTCAGAGGGCACCTTTGTAGTTGCTGTCTGTTGCAATATGCACCTCTGCCTTGATTCAGTCCTCTCCAGCCTCTTCGTCTGGCGCAAAACAGCTAGAGCAGAGATGAGAATTTCACACCAAGCATCAAGCTGCTGTTTTGAACATTAAATATCATATGATCATTTTCTTATGCGTAGATGTGTTCTACTCACAGTGGTTTTGGCAAGAGTTTTGTCCTTTGTTCAGTGTGTTGTATGCCGGTTGCTTGCTGCCTTCCCCTTCTGAAGGGTCTGTTTTCCAGCAGTGATGCGTATACATAGAGTCCCATTCCTGCAAGCTGCTCGGAGTAGATGGACCCCTATACTCAAAGCTCCAGCAAAGTCAGCAAGGATTAGGCTTTCAGCAGCAACATCATGGCTGTAGTTTGTACATTAGTGTACGCTAACTTTAAAGACTGGAAAAATATTTTCTAGCTTGCATTCAAAAATGATAGCTCTGCGTTTCATCTAAAACTCCTGCCACCTGATTTTTTGCGAGGACTTTGTCAGGCCAAATGAATTTGTGCTATGTTTGGCTGTGGCAAGCAAGTTTACAAGTCCTGTCTAATGCTCTAATGCAAATACTCAGCAGAAACTGCAGATGCCACTTTTAGCGGAAAAATGTTTCCACACCGGTAAAGCAGTATCAGTAAAATCTATGCTCTGAGCAGACATCAAATTTTTGTTGCACTTATATCGCCTGCACAGGCAGGGAGTATAATAAACTAGTGTGTAGCAGCTGTAAATTTTCTGAGGATTTATCTAACCACAAATACATCGAAATGGGGAAATAGGGCTATATTAAACTGTGCAAGATGCTGCTGGAACTCAGCCATTTCTGCAACATCCTGTAATTAATTTATTATGACAGGTCTGGC